TGAAATATAAGAGAATATATTAAAAATAAGAGTAAATTATCAAAAAGAAAAGATAAGTTCAACAATTAAAAAATAAAATTAAATGATAAAATTAAATTAAACCATAAATAAAATATATAATAAAATAAAAAAAAAATGTTTCATAAAATAAAATAAAATTTATATAAATAAATAAAATTAAACATTTATTACAATATGCAAAATTATAATAAATTACAAAATAAATTAAATGTGTAATAAAATCAAATGATGTTTAACTTTAAAAACAAGAAAACTAAATGTTTAATGAAATAAAAGAAAATGTTCAAAAAAATATTAACAATAAAATAAAATAAAAAGATGAAAAAAAGTGTAATAAAATGAAAGAAAATCTTAAATAAAATGTAATTAAATTTCACAAACTAAAATCATAAAATGAAAAAAATAATAATGTTTAATACAATCAATAAAACACAAAATAATAGTTGACTATAGTGGATGTTTTAACATGACAGTCAGTGGTTCGCTGCTTTGTGCCGCTGCATAATAGAGCTGATTTCCTGATCTGCAGACCTGAATCCGTTTGCACACGTCTGAGTTTCCATGAGTGTGTTTCCATCAGCTCTCTGTCATCTGGAAAGTCTGTGCTGTCTGAACACTTTATAAACCCATCAGACAGAGTCAGCGCTCTGTGTGTGTGTGTGTGTGTGTGTGTGTGTGTGTGTGTGTGTGTGTGTGTGTGTGTGTGTGTGGTTTCAACTGAGTGGATATTTATGAGAATGAGCTATATAAGGATGAAACGGTATTCCCACACAGGTGTTTCACACACCAGACCACAGATAAACAAATGCAAATGCTCATCTGGAAAAAACACACTCACACACTCCGAGTTCATGGAGAACGAATGCACGATCACGACAAGTGATAAAACACACACCTACTGACATCAACCCCTGCACACAGCCAAGAGAGTATGTGTGTGTTCAGAAATCAATGTGTGTGTGTGTGCATGTGTGTACACATGTTTGTGGGTGTGTGTGTGTTTGTGTAAGAGACTTGAGTGTAGCCGTCTGCATGTTTACTGCGCCTTTGTTTGGCTTGAAAAGGTGCTGCGGGAGACAGAACACACACACACACACACACTCTATATGTACGGGCTGTTTGTTCTGCCAATAGGAGCATCTGGGCTCGTCTGACCTTCAATTAGACTGGAGAAGGTGTGGAGATGCCCTGAGGAGCGGGCGAGACGAGAGAGAAATAATGAAACGCTGAGCTGAAAACACAATCAAGGAGATGAAAGTGACACGGCGATGGGTTTATGAAGATGACCTTACAAGTGCTGCATAGCACGGCTCTACATGGCGGGAAACACCCAGCTGAGGTATAAATCTTTACTAACTTTAAAAAAGAAAGAGTCGACTCAGAGTCATTAATATGAATCATCATTCATTTGAATCCCTAATCGTTTTGGTTGTGATGTCTGAACAAACACTAACCGGCCTACATGACGCACACACAGACCCGGGGAAACTGTGTTGGTTTATATGAAATGTATATTATTGCTATTACTTGGAGTTAGCATAAAGCCCTATACAGCAAACCGTCATCACACCAATGACATAAGACTGAGTCATCAGATCAAACACACTGGATCATCAGACCAATCACATCAGACTGAGTTATCGGACCAATCACATCAGACTGAGTTATCGGACCAATCACATCAGACTGGGTCATCAGATCAAACACACTGGGTCATCTGACCAATCACATCAGACTGGGTCATCAGACCAATCACATCAGACTGAGTCATCAGACCAATCACATCAGACTGAGTCATCAGACCAATCACATCAGACTGGGTCATCAGACCAATCACATCAGACTGAGTTATCATGCCAATCACATCAGACTGGGTCATTAGACCAATCACATCTGGTTGGGTCATCATACCAGTCACATCAGACTGATTCAACAGACCAATGATCAGACTGTGTCATCAGACCAATCACATCAGACT